CAGCACCCCCGGCAGCCCTCACTGCGCCCCTGCACCTCACTGTTCCTCCCACCGCCCCCTTCAATGCACCCCTCACTGCACCGCTCATTGTGCCCCCGGCACATCTCACTGCACCCCACCACTCCGGGGAAATCCCGGTCCCCAGTGTCCCACATCGCTGTGTCCCACTGGTACCTCTGCTGCTATCCCCTGTGCCCTGACCTGCAGCCCCCAGGACACCACACATCCCCCAACACCACCCTCCTCAGCTGCTAGCCCCCTGCTGCAGCCCCATCTCAGAGCACCCCTCACCCCCTTCACCTCCTGAACGCAGGGGGAACAGCCCACCCCACTGCCCCAGCACCCCAGAGCTGAAGGATTGGTGCTGTAGTGCCTCAGGGATGGAAGGAGTGGGTGTAGACCCAAGTGAGGAGCATGGCAGAATGGCAGGGAGCAGGCCAGGGTGTTGGGGAGCGTGGTGGGATCATGGGGATCCCAGCAGGCTGACTGGGAGCACGACAGGACAACCAGTGGAATGATGGGGAACACAGCAAGGTCAGTGTGGAGCATGGACAACCACAGCCCAGCCATCAGAGCTTCCCCAGTGCAAGCAGCAGGGCTCCTCTGCCCGCCCGATAGGTCCCAGGAAGAGAAATCCGGGGCAGAGACGTTTGCAGGCCCCATCACTGTGAGGCCTGGGGCCAGAGCTGCTGGCGGCCAGCAGCCAGGTAGTTTCTGCTCCTGCTTGGGAGCACAGAGGATGTTTTGTATGCAGTGGTGGGAGCACCGTGCCCACCAGGGCTGGCCCTGCTGCCAGCAGCCCCACCTGGACACTAAAGGACCACGGCTTCTGCACACACTGCCTCCCCAGCACAGCATCACCCACCCCAGCCTCCTTCCCTGCAGAAGGATGCAGCCTGGGCTTCCTGGCCTCCACTCCTGGCACTGGCCCTGCTCTGCGCCACAGGCAGCAGCACATCTCCCAGGAACATCTGATGCCCACCCCAGGTACTGCTTGCTGTAAAGGGTGAATAAATTACATCTGCCCCATGCTGTGTGGGCTGGGAGTTTCTGAGTCTGTAAATAGCTGAGTTCCCCTCATGCTCATCTTGAAAGTGAGAATGGGAACATTCCCCAGAGAGGGGGAAAGAATTGGTCAGTTGCCATCACTGGTAGAAAAGCTATTTTTAATTTTATTAACTTCTCTCTAGTATAAACTCTAAAAATATCTGGAACCTCTGATATAAAGATATGTGCCATGGCTCTGTAGCAAAGCTGTTGCTCCTAGGGCCAGCGATGGTGGCACTCAGGCGGGGGCGCACCTGCCATCAGAGGACAGCTGAGGGTTCTCTTTGGGATCCGAGGAAGTGTGAGGAGCACCAGGGCAGCAGGGCACTCCAGACTCACCCTTAGAAAGGAGCACATGGGGGACACAGTGGCCACAGACACATCCAGCCACAGGATGGGTCTGTCGCTGGAGCAGGAGCTGGTGCAGGGTCTCACTCACCTGCCCGAGGTTGTGGAAGACGTTCTCCAGATATGCCTTCTGCTGCTGACAGAATGTGTGCAGGACATGCACCACTTGACGCTGGAGACTCAGGACCAAGCCTTTCACGCGAGGATCTGCAGTGTGAGAGGGGTCAGTGGCACCTCACCATGGCTCCGAGAGCTCCCTGTGAGGCTGTCGTGGAGCTGCAGGGAGCACCCACCATGCAGGCTTGTGTCTGATGCATCTTCACCTGCTGCTGGCTGCTCACTTGTGGCTGCTGTCTCGTGGGAGCCTGTGGCTGCAGCAGCCAGTGGCAGCACTTGGTTTCCTCTTCCCATCCCCAGGGACGTCTCACCAGGAAAACCTGTCATGAAAGCCTGGCATGGAGCGAACAGCAAGAGTGATGGAGACACCCAAATTTAGCCTGACTATGACACAGAGCCCTGGGAAGGCACTGCCTCTGGGAGCCCGTGCCCTTCTCACTGGCAGGACAGGATGGAGCAGTGTCCTGGAGCATGAGGATTCACTCAAAGCTGGAGACACTTACTGGCCTTTCCCTTACCTCCTTTCTGCATCAGGTCAGTGTGACAGCCTGGAAGGAGAGCAGACCCAGCCTGTGAGCTGCAGCCACCTCTTGCACCAGGGCACACAAGCATGGTAGCTGGGGCATGGTACTCACCCAGGAGGGAGAGGGAAGAGACGCAGCAACAGGTGTCTGCAATGAGAACTATATCAGACCCTGCTTGGGGCTGACCCCCTGTGGGGCTGAGGGGATTTACTGGGCTGAGCAGGGCAAGGAAAGCCTTACGTGGCATGGCACGGGCTGTGGGTGGCGCTCCAGCAACGTGTTTCCCACCAGCTGCTGGGAGAAAGCAGAGAGGAGACATATGCCTTCTGAAGGGACTTGCTGGTGTATCACCACCAGCCTGGGGTCTGCCTAGCTTGCTCCGGCCAGCCCCTCAACCTGACGTGCCCTAGCCACAGCTCCAGAGCGCCCTGCAGGGCCCCAAAGCACTTCAGAGCGAGGTACAAAAGCAGGAGTCACTCACCCACCACTGCAATGCAGCCACCTCTGGGCTGGAAGGCAGCAGTGGCAGAGCAGTGCACAGCAACACTAACACACTAGGACTGGAAGAGAAGGAGAATCCCACATCCACTTGAAACTGCAGGGGGAATTTGGGCAGACAGAAGGTAGTTACCCAGTGTGGACCGGGGTGCCCACGCAAACCAGACTCAGGGATGTATCCTGCATCACCTCAGGGCCAAATTCCCAGGAGTGTGAGCAGTGAGGGACCTACAGGTTATGCACATGGGTGGGCTGATGGGCAGGGGAGCTGCACACAGCTCTGGCCCTCAAACACAGCCCAAACTCACCTGAAGCTTTATGATGTTACTGGGCCAGCGAAGAGCCAGGAACTGCTGAAGGGAAGGGAGTCACATGCCCTGCAATGCCACCAACAACGAGACCCCTGCGCAGTATCAGGGCCACTGCCCCTTCCAGATCTCTCGCCTCATGATCTCCCTGAGGGAGACCACAGCCTTGCCATGCCCTCAGGCTGGTGCTCCCTCCTGCCCTATCCCAGCCATCCCCATCCCCACATGCTCTGGGGCTGGTCTGGAGCCAAAGCCTGTGGAGACGGAAATCCAAACACACCCATCGTTGACTATCTCTGCTGAGGGACATGTGATGGATCCCCTGGTCCTCTCAGCCTCCCATTCCCACCATGCTGGCATGGGCTTCGCTGGAGCCATGGCTGGAGCCACGCAGCTCGGCACAGCAGGGCATCTCAGTACTTACAGCTCTCTGGCTCGTCATTGGCACGCTGCAGCATCGGTGACGGCAGCATGCTGGGGGTGTCCCTGCCAACGTCGTGCTCTGCAGGGGTGCAGAAAAGAGCTTCAGTAACTGGGGGAACAGAGGTGTCCACCACCTCGCAGCCAGGACAAGCTGCCTGAGCCCACGGCTACCTGGTGGCTCTGGTGAGGATGGAGGGCGTGGGGCAGGAGCTGACCTTCGCCTTCTGGACGACAGCCTCCTCACGACTAGCGGAAAAAGACCATCAACAGACCCTGGGTGTCCACATAGCACCAGAGCTCTACCAGCCCCCCACGTCCAGCCACGCTGCTGAGCCCACACGCCTGTCCCCGGCACCCACCTGGCATCCACAAGGCACCCACCTGGCATCCTCCGTTTGCCAGACACGGGCTGCCCCGCCGCCTTCCAGATGCTCCTCATGGCTCGGAAGTGTGGCGGCAGCAGAGCCGAGCACAGTTCTGCCCGGCGGCGCCTCTCCCGCTCCGAGTGGAAAGCCTGCTTGAGCGCCTTCCA